CCAGGAATCCCCTTGAGAAATAGAACGCAGAACTGCATAGGGGGGTGAGAAGTGAATGGGCCAGGGCAGGGAGGTGGAGTTCCACTCCTCTGTATGCTGCATTCAGGTAATGAGGGACTCTTGCTTAAAATGAAGGTCTGCAGCCCCAGCTCCAGAATGTGTGTGCTTCAGTGGTGGTGCCCAGGAATGAACACAAACCCATTTGTGATTTCACAGTCGGCCCCTTTATCCCACTTGAGGAAACACTTGTTAGGGTCCTTTCAAGGTGACAATCTAGAATCCTATTAACTCCAGAGTTATACTGTAGCACCCAGTGAGTGTGGCTGCATCATACAAGAGGTTTGTTTCTGGGATTTAGAGCATTTTCTGACAGAATTCTGACTAATGAGAGTACTTGTGCCAAAGACAATGGGACCAGGGCCATCCCCACCCTCACTGCCTCCTGTCCCCCGCCACAGCCCAGATGCAACCCTACAAGAGAATTCAAGTCTGCAAGCACCAGGTGTGGTGGCTGTTCTTGGAAAGGAGAAAAAAGTCAAAACAATGAAAGAAAAAGTTTATTAAGTGCACCTTTTATAAAGCAGCTAATGAAGCAGACATCTCATTACTGGCCACACTATTCACCAACTGGCACAGTACACGAGGGTCACAGAAAGTCACCATAGTAGGACAAAATCAAGGGATTCACATTTTGTGTTTAGTATTTCATTGCAATTAAATTCAAAAAGGGTAAGTGCTTTGAAACCAGGATCTTCATAAAAGGCAGCCTCCTAAAGTCTCAACCCATAGACCTGTCTCAAAAGACATCAAAATTGTGTGACAGATTTTTTTTTTTTTAGGGCAAGAAGAAATTAGGCTCAGAGTCTTTAAGTATTCACATTTTACTTTTGACCATCAGAACAATAAAACATTCCAGAAGAAAATCAGCACACTCCAATTTATTGGTACCTCCAGCCACACATTCAGTTTGTAAACTGGAGGATGGAAACGACTGAGCTCCAGGTAGCATTTTGGACCCCACAGTCTTTCTTCCAGGCTTTTTTTTTTTTAAAGAAAGACAGTGAAAATATTCTGCTGGATGAGTCTAGAACAGGAGGGGTGTATGTCCAGGTGTGGTGCTGAAATCAAATGTCACTGATTTGCTACAAAACAGATGCCTGTACCATAACAAGACCCAAGGTACCACCCACAGCTCTCACAGAACTAGTAAAGTACCCCAGCTGGTTCTGGTGCCCAAGAACCTTGCTACTCTAGTATTCTCAGGAAGGTTGTGCCTGGTCAGAAAAATCTACTATAAGTCACTGTCTCCTTGATTCCCAGTGGCTTCTGCAGGCTGCTAGGATGGCAACTTCCCTGGGAACAGCAGAGACAGGGGCAACTCTGGCTGGTCAGTAGACAGGCTCAAATGCCAACAGAGCCCACAGTTGCTACATTTGCAGCCAGAATGCCCCCATGGTCCTGCATGTGGACAATTAGACCCCCCAGCCAGCACCCTGTTAGCCTCTCAAAGAGCTAGGACTGGCTGGTGCTGACACTAAGTGCACATCACAGCAACACTGTGCAGTATCTCTGGGCCCACGGATAATATTCATTGTCTTCAGTCTCCAGTTAGTACTGCAGATCTTGAACTAAACGCTGAGACATTGAATATTGGCATATCAGTGCATATGTCTCTTCTCCCTGAACATCTAGACCCTGCTATCCCCATACTGTGTACATGCATGTGTGTGCACGCGCGTGTGTGTGTGTGTGCAAGTATGAGTGTATACTGCAGCGTGGAGAGGAAGAGGAAAGCATGGAGGGAGAGGGCAGTCTTTGGGCAATGCTCTTACTGGATCACGAGTCCAAAAATATGTGTAGAAATTGAAAGTTTTTCAAGTGCCCCAGAGTGGCACTGAGCTGGCCAGTCTGTCCAAAAACATCTGATTTATAATGTCCTCTATTTAACAACTTGAAGGTATTTTCTGGACACAGTCATGTCCTACCTCAAGGCTGAAAAAACATTTGAGAACATGTTTACCAGGCCTGTGAGACCCTTTGGTATTGTTCTTCTACATAAAACACACCACTTGCAGCCATGAGGCATCACTTGTGCCTCTACGAGACCAGGGTCGGCATATTATCACGGCTGGTCCTTTTGGCTAAACCGGAAACACCATCTCTTGTAGAACAACTAAGTAAGAAAACCATGGGAGTCCTCATAATGGTGAGTCATGTGAGAGAAACAAAAGTGCTGGGAGGTAAGAGATTCTAAGGAATGCATCCTTCAAGCTGAAAGCAGCTGTTAAACATTTTCTGTTTGAAGTGTTCAATGCAGTGCTCTTTGGAACATTCTCAAAATTGTGCACAATTCACCACTAATTCCAGGAAATTTTAACCACTGAAAAAAGAAACCCTGTATCTATTAGCAGTCGTTCCCCATTCACCCCCAGCCTCCAGTTCCCGGCCACCACTATGCCATAGTCTCTCTTTATAGATTTGCCTTTTCTGGGCATTTCACATAAATGGAATCATACAAGTATGTGGTTATTTGCAATGGCTTCTTTCACTTAATACAATGTGTTCAAGGTTCATCCATACTGTAGCATGTATCAGTGCTTCATTTCTTTTTATTCTGAATAACATGCCATTTTTATATAGATATACCACGTTTTACTTATCCATTCACAGTTGATATTTAGGTTATTGCCATTTTTTGGCAATTATAAATTATGGTGCTCTGAACATTTATGTACAAATTTTTGTGTGTATGTATGCTTTTATTTCTCTTGAGTAAATACTATTTCTGGTGTTTTAACTTTTTGAGGAATTGCCAAACTATTTTCCAAAGTGACTGCACTATTTTGCATTCACTCCTATAAGCAATGTACAAACATTCCAGTTTTCCCATGTCTTCGCCAACACCTGTTATTGACCATCTCTTTTATTATAGCCATCTTAACAGGTAAGAAGTGGTATTTCACTGTGGGTTTGATTTATATTTCCTTAATGAGTAATACTATTGAGCATCTTTTCTTGTGCTTATTGGCCAATTATATTATCTTCTTTGGAGAAGATATAAAAATATGTCTATTTATGTGTTTATTTGAATACATATTTTGTTCATTTTAAAAAATTGGCTAATTTGTCATTTTATTGTTAAGTTGTAAGAGCTCTTGATGTATTCTGGATACAAGTACAAGATTTGCAAATATTTTCTTTCATTCTGTGTGTTGTCTTTCCACTTCCTTGACAGTGTCCTTTGAAGCATAAAAGTCCTGTGCCCCATTTTCACATGGTCCAGTTTATCTATTTTTCCTTCCTTTGTGCTTTGGTGTTGTATCTGAGAAACCGTTGCCTAATCCAAGGTCACAAAGATTTATGCCTGTGTTTTCTTCTCACACTTCTGTAGTTTAAGCTCTTACATTTAGGCCTTTGGTGCCTTTTCAGTTAATTTTTACGTAGTGTGTGAGGCAGGGGTCTAACTTCACTCATTTGCATGTGGCTGGCTAGCTGTCCTAGCACCATTTGTTGAAAAGACTATCTTCCCTACTAAATTCTCTTCTCACACTTGTTAAAAATCAATTGGCCATAAATGTAAGGATTTATAGCTGTACTCTCTATTCTATTTCATTGGTCTATATGTTTATCCTTATGCTTGTACCAGACTGTCCTTATTACGGTAGCTTTGTAGTAAGTTTTGGAAGCAGGAAGTATGGATCTTCTTTTTCAAGGTTTATTTAGTTATTCTGGATTCCTTGCATTTTCATATGAATTTTAGGATCAGCTTATCAATTTGTACAAAGAAGCCAGCTAGATTTTTATAGGAAATATAATAAATCTGTAGAGCAATTTATATAGTATTGTTATCTTAACAATACTTAAGTCTCTGACACATGAACACAAGGATGTTCCTTGATTTATTTATCTTCTTCAATTTCTTTCAATGATATTTTGTAGTTTTCAGGGTATAAGTCTTGTACTTCTTGTAACTTATTTTATGCTTTCTGATACTATTATAAATTAAGTTATTTATTAAAAAAAAAACTTGACCCAAGGATATATATATTAATTTTAGAGAGGGAGGAAAAGAGAGAGAAAGAGAAAGAAAAACATCAGTCATCATCCATTCCCTGCACATGTCCCAACCAAGGATCAAACAAAACCCACAGCCTAGGTATGTGCCCTGACTAGGAATTGAACCCGCAACATTTTGGCGTATGGGCTGATATTCCAACCAACTGAGCCACCCAGCCATGGCTAAATTAAATTATTTCTTAATTTTATTTGTATATTGTTCATTGCTAGTATAAAGAAATGCAATAAATGCAATTGATTTTTGCATATTGACCTTGTACTCTGCAATTTTGCTGAACTCATTAATTAGTTCTAGTGTGTGCGTGTGTGTGTGTGTGTGTGTGTGTGTGTGTGTGTACAAATTTCTTTGTATTTTCCATATATAAAATTGTGTCATCTACAAAGAGTTTTACTTTTTTCCAATTTGGATGCCTTTTCTTTCTTTCCATCTTGCTACTTAAACATTAGCTTGTTAAACATTTTTAACCCAAGTTTTTATCGACATCTGTGCCAAATCATCTCATAAGAGAACCCCCTGCTCTTTGGGCCAGCCTCTGACAAGCGGGTACCCACAGACGCTGGGATAGATCCGCTCAAAGGCAAACACACTCTGAGGGGTCAGGAGGACACGAGCACCACCTCTCCATTTGAGCTTCCAAACACAATTGGTCACAAATCCTATACTTATTACCTTTCACAAAATTATAGAATATTGGAGAAAAAAAGATAATGAATTGAAATTACAGGTCCAGGGAACATAAACAACCCATCCAGCAGCTGGAGCAGCAGTGGAGTCAGGGGAGCAGAAGTACCTGCAGGAACTCACGGGAGATTCAAGGACGGTCTGGTGGCTGAGTCACCGTATCATCTTCCCCCATGGAGACCACTCCCCCCCACCATGTCAGCATCCCCCACCCCACGAAAGCTGCTCCAAGGTATGGCGCTGTACAAATGGAAAGGTACCTTATACACGTATGTACACAACCACCAAGGGGCATGTCACACAACCAGATAGAAGGGAGACAGTCCAGACCCAGGCTGGTCACACGGAGGACAACTGCGAGCAACTCCTCTGGCTGGAGCTGTGCCGGCTCAGGAAAAAGGTGGATGAGTTGCTCTTTTTGCTTACACTTGTCTCTCCTGGCTGGGATCCCCTTAGGAAGCTGGAGAAGCAGCAGAGGAAACGCTGTACCAGCTCATGGAAGAGGTGGCCCGTGAAGAGCATGTAGATCCAGGGGTTGCAGCAGCTGTTGAGGCTGGCCAGAAGCATAGCGATGATGAAAGCCGAAGCTGCAGGGAGGAAGGAGAACAGGGCATGAGGACTGGAGTGTTAACCCCCATTTCCTGAGAGCAGCCTTCGTCCAGTACCAGGAGCCAGGCCACAACACCGAGCACTCGAGAGACGAAGTCTGTCTTCCTCCCACATCCTTGCTCTGGTTGTGCACTCAGCTTGCCCCAATCCCTCCCAGGCTCAGCCAGCTCTGGGATGCTCCTGATCCTTCCTCTCGTCAACACTTCCTCACTGTGTGCTTCCAGTAGCAGGAGCTGTCCTCCTCTCAGCCATTTATCCATTCATGGCTCACCTAGCAAGTGGGGGTGCCTGCTGCTCGGAGTCGAAGAGGACGGGGCCAGTCGAAATCATCTGGCCCCATCAGGAAGCAAATGATTTAACTCCCCCCAAATTGCTGTTTCCTAATATCTAAATGGGGACAAGAGTAGGCAAACCTCACAGGAATGCTGCAAAGACTAAGGAGTGCCTGGAACACAGTGAATTCACAATACATTGGCAACTGCCATCACGGCCACGAGCCAGACACCAGGCTAGGCACTGAGAACACAAAAGTAGAATGAGTAGCACCATGAGGTGGGCATGACATGGTTCAGGTGAGCACACCAAGGAGGGGTGCAGCTCTCTAAGAGCAAGTCACGGCCGGCCCCACAGAACCCAGCAATGAAGCTGCCACCGGAAGGATGCTCATGAATTTTCCAGGCTGAGAAGGGAGGAAGGGTTCTTCAGGTGGAAGGAATGGCACAGGCAAAGAATTGGTGGCCAAAAGTGGATGCTATCTTCATAGCTGAGATCATTGCAGACATTTCTCTGAAGATGCCCCTGAGAGCACAGCTTCAATATGACAACAGGTTTGCACAAACAAACAGAGCAGTGGCACTAAATCTGACTGGTGTGGGTCAGTGCATTGGGTGTCATTCGACAAACCGAAATGTCACCTTTTGATTCCCGGTCAGGGCACATGCCTGGGTTGCGGGCCAGGGCCAACCCAGGTTGAGGTGTGTATAAGAGGCAAGATCGATGCCTCGCTCACATATTTATGTTTCTCTGCTTCTCTTTCTGTCTCCCTTGTCCTATCTCTAAAAAATTAAATAAATAAAATCTTTTTTTTTTTAAGTGACACTAAAATTTTAAGAGGCACTATGTAGAAGCCATTATACTGAGAACGTGCTGAGTATCAGGCAGAATTAATGATCAAAAATCGGCTTCAAAACATAGCTTGTCACAAATTTAAGCTTCAAAGACAAAGAAAATTCCTAACCCTAAATACTTCTAATTAGAAGGAAAAAAGTCTAGTTTTCTTTCAATGGACTTAAATCGGACAAACTTCAGACATCTCCCACCAACAGAGGACAGGCAACACCTCCGGAAACCCAAGGAAAACAATATTCCCATGAATTCTGTTCACAACCATATCCTCATGAGTGCCAGCAACTGCAGAGGCTCAAAAATTCCACTAGTCTTCAGCGTTTTCCGCAAAAAAAAATTTCAAAAATTAACTCCAGAATTCTAAAGCTAAATCCAGGGAAGGATTTTTCATGGGAGCACTGGAGTTGCGAGATCTACTTGCCACTGTGGACAAAAAAGGGACCACATACTAAACCTGACAACCTCGGGGAGGCCTGCCTGGTACGCCTTACAAACTCAGACCACAAGGAAACACACGGGCTGGTCTGAATATAGAAACTCCTAACTAAAAGTGTGTCATGGCGGGTACTCACATCCTAGGCCTGTAGCTTCTGTGACAAAGGTCAATCTTTACCTTAAGTGAGCCTATGTACCGTCTTTTGTATCTAAGACAATGTACCTTTGAAATGTCAGAGTAACCTCCCTTTCCAGACGCCTCAGGGCACAACCTCCCATCAGAGCACAAGACCACAGAACCCCTCACTGCTACCTCATTCCCTGAATGCTGTCTCTGTGAGCTGTACATTTAACTATCCTGTGCCCAACAATGTAAAATAAGTATGTGTCCATTTTGCTTTTTATCTAACACTAGAGATTTCCCCGCTTTACTTTCCCTCACCCCCTTAATCTACCAGCAGCGGAATTCACATATGTCTCTTCCTTTGATTCTAATGTATAAAAGAAACCATAAAACTGCCATTTTCTGGAGTATTTCTGCAATCTGTTGAGAATTTGCTTCCTAGCAACTGTGGTCAGTTTGGTTCAAATAAACTCATAATTCTTCTCTATAGGTTTGGATGTTTCCTACATCAACAGCACCATCAATGCACAGCAGAGCTGTTTGTCTGCAAAGTGTCCCAGCACCAAAGGGAGGAGGGTGAATTTGTGAGACAAATTCAGTGGTTCTCAAAGTGCGGGCCCCAGATCACCTGGAACTTGTTAGAAAAGCCTGCTCTCAGGCCCCAACCTAAAACTATTAAATCAGGCTCCTGGGGGCATGGCTGAGTGATTTGTTGTAAACAGTCCTCCAGGGGATTCTGATGCGCACCCCAGTCTGAGAACTACAGGTCTGATTAGTTGGTATACCTGGACCCAAAACAAATTATAACAGACCAAAAAATAAAAAAATCTTGCAAAAGAAAAAGTTTAGAGAATGAAAGAGAGAAACCTAATCCATAGACTAAAATAATGTTTTAAAAGAAGAAAAGATCCCTGGCTGGTGGGGTTCAGTTGGTTGGAGTGTCATCTGGTGCACCAAAGGGTTGCAGGTTCGATTCCTGGTCAGGGCACAGCCCCAGGTTTCCGGTTTGATGCCCTCAGTGGTGCACACAGGAGGCAACCAATGAATGTTTTTCTCTCACATCAATGTTTCTCTTTCTCCCTCCCCCACCCCCCCACCCATCTCTACAAAACAATGAAAAAATGTCCTTGGGTGAGGATTAAAAAAAAAAAAATTAAAAGAGAAAGAGTGAAGAGGGGAAAAAGCCAGTATTGAATTCTTCACTTTTTATAAAACTGAATGAAAAAAAATTTTGTTCTGATTTGAATGAGCAAGGAAAAGATGAATTTAAGTTTAGAAATCTGGTGAAAAATCACCAAGACTAAGAATAGGATGTGTTCAACATCATAATTAAACATATAAAATGAAAGAGACAAAATCAACACATAAAAATCAAAAACTTAAAAGGCATTGGAAAGTAAACTATCAGACACCAGGGGAAGAAAGCAGATATATAAGGCTGTAAAATGTAAGGACAGAAAGGCACTATGTTTTACCTAGCTGGGCAGTTATATGGTATAATCTTCGTTGTTCATTTAAGCTACTTGCCTCAGTCTTTACATTTGGATCTGTAAAATTTGTATATCCTACTTAAAAAAAAAACTTACATAAACAACAACAAAAAAATAAACAGCAAATTCCCGAGTGGCTGGCCAGCCTGAGTGGGAGGAGCTGGGACCATGGCCAGCACCTCCGCCCCCACCTGGTGGCCACAGACACAAATAACCTGCCGGGCCTGGCTCCTGGGGACCGGACGACCTCTAAGTTGAACTTGCTCACTTCAAGTTGCCAATGCTAAGGGCACATCTGGACTTTTTTTATTTGACAAATATCCTAATCACCCAAGACATGAGTCCCTAATGGGGGAATTTCAAGCCATGAGCAGGGAAAAGAACTAGTTAGGAATAAAAGCAGGGGGAATGGAGGACATTTCAAAGGGAAAAAGCAGCAGGAATAAAGCAGCAGTAAGTGAGAATGTCCAAGAGCATTCAGAGGCTGCCAGAGTTGGGGAAGGGAAGCTTCATGGGAGAAGAGACTGGAAAGAGCCAGGCTAAGGAGGACACTGAATCCAGGCTGAGTCTGAACTTTAATCTGTAGGCACTGGGGAGCCATTGACGGTTTCCAAGCAGATGAGTGACTGCACCTCGCATGCTCTCTGCACTTACTGTATCTTGTTTAGGCCACAACACTGATATTTCATAGGATCACAGAGGAGCAGGGATTGAACAGGGCATGGAAAATATTGTCCTTGCATTTCACAATGATGTTTCCAGGGAGCACATGACAATGTAGCAATGCTGCTCATTTGAATTACCACTGAAGCTCACGCAGAACAGGGCAGTTTTCAAAGCGGCCTTATCCCTGTTTTATAGATAAGGAAAGGGAAGCTCAGAGAAGTGAAGTGTTTTCCCCAAGGACACATAGTCAATCTCTCTTCGATCCTGCCTGAACTTAACGGAAGTCTGATTCCCCTTAAAACTAGGTCAGCATTCACACATGTCAGGTTGAATCCGGGTAGCAAATCCTCTCAGTCCCAATGCAAAGACACAGACTCGATGGGCCATCATCCTCAAGGTGTGATTTGAGAAACGGAGTCAGAGGACAACTTCCCTGTTCCCACAACAGATGTAGGCCCCTTCAGAAGCCAAGCGTTTCCCACTCCTCCAAGATGGTCTTTTAAAGTCAAAGTGTAATTAGGAAGAGAAACAATTGCCTCTCATCGGAGCACCATCCTTCCTGGCAGAAGTTATCTCCTGGTCTAGACCAGGGGCCAGCAAAATACAGGCCAGGGGCCAAACCCCACCTGAAGCTTATTTTTGTAAATAAAGTTTTTTTTTTTATTCATTCATATATTTTCTATGGCAGCTTTTGCACTACATAGGCAAGGCTAAGTAGCTGTTATATAGATAGACCTTATACCTGCAAGCCTAAAATATTTACTGTTTGGCCTTTTACAGAAAAAGTTAGCCAGTCTTGATACCTGTAGGAGGGGCAGATGTTTAAAGGCATAGAAAAAGGCTCAGGAAGCGGAGGGGCAGACCCAAATGGCAAACTCAGCCCACTTCTCCCCGTATTACCAGGAGCAGAACTGATTTCAAGCTACCCAGGCCTGGCTCTGCCACTTTGCAACTGAGCGTTCTTGGACAAATTACCTATTGTCCATCTATCTGTGAAACGAAAATAATAAAAAGAACCTCTTTACAGCATCATTGCCAAGTTTAATTAGGCAGGGTTCCAAGTGCTCACCATGATTCCTGCACTCAACACTAGTAAATACTTAATAAAGCTTAGTTGTTGTCATTATTACTACAATGA